ACAAGTGTCCTAGCAAACTTCACACACAACAGTTCTCTTCTCTCGGCAAGTGATGACAGTCCGAGGTGTTGTAGTGCGTTGTCATATCCTGTGTAGGTGGTTCCCAGGATGATGCGGCAAGCCCGCCTTTGAACACGCTCAAGGCTGCGTTCCTGGGCTTTAGTGAGGGCAGGAGTCCAGGCAGGGGCTGCATACTCCAGGATAGGTCTAATATATCCTGTGTAAATGGTAGTAAGGTCACTATGGGAGACGTTGAACCTTTTGAGACGTTTTAGGAAGTAGAGCTTTCTAGACGCTTTCCCCACCATGTGATTGACCTGTTTATCCCAGTGAAGGTTGTTTTGGAGGATCACGCCAAGTACTTTCAGACAAGGTACAACAGGGAGAGTCACGTCATCGATTTGTAGCGGTGGCAGCAGTGGTGGATTCCGGGAAAAGGTCACATGCATGACGAGGCATTTACTACTGTTCAACAGCATACCAAATATCACGACAAAACAATTCAACAAAAACTTGGTGGCCTACCGCCTGTGGATGTTGGATGTTTTCTTTGTGTTCCTACGTGTATGTAGACCTAGACGCCTGCCTGGCAAATCCGTGTGACGCCCAGGCCACTTGTACGGATAATCCTCCTCCTGCCCTTGATGCGAATTGTACCTGCAACACCGGATATACAGGAGATGGGCTTGTCAGTGGAACTGGCTGTTCAGGTAAAATGACTATTCCATTTATAATTATAATCATTATGTAATCATACACTCTACTTCACAGTACTTCATTGTTTAGGAATCTCTGTAATTTAATGAGGTTATAAATGAGTTATAATGACATTTGGTGCTCTCACTCACTCACTCACTGCACTCTATTTACATCTATTTCAAGAGTAAACAAACTCGAGGACTTCTTAAGTGGGGTCGTGTGGCAAAATGGCAGCGTGCGCGACTCGGAACCAAGAGGTCCCGGGTTCGAGTCCTGACATGCCACTGATCTTGTGCCCTTGGGAAAGGCACTTAACACGACTTTCCCGACTAGACTCAAGTGAAAATGAGTATTGTCCAGGGTTCTCACCAGGACTTTTTTACAGCATAGGGGTCAGGTACAGAAGGGCAACTTTCGCACCGCGCATTGCGTCCCCAAAAAATAACCATAGTAAGGGCTCTGGTATTCTTCCTGAAATATTTTGAAACTCATAACCCCCTGAGACACTATTTCTTGCTAATAGTGAGGGACAGATTTTGAGAAGCTTTTCCTTTTGCTGTAGCTTCATTCTAAAGTTATACTTTCATTTTTGTGCAAGATTTATCAAGGTTCCCCCCCCCCCAACATAGGAGTCCAAATCACAGCAAAGGGGGCCCCTATGCTCAAAAGGCCTGGCGAGAACACTGTTGTCTGTCCAGTATTCGTTTCTATGTGTGGGACACAATATCAGCAACAGCTGCCTCTGTTCCGCGTGTATTGCACTGGAACAGTTGCAATTTAAATAAATCAAATTAAATCAAATCAAACTCCAGGACCTGTTTTGATCCTATTCTTGTGTTGTTTGGTACTGTTTTAGGTTTCATCATCATCATCAGGTCGGGCGTGTTGCCCGGACCGAGTCCACTCTCTCTCTCCATTAGGTTTAACACAAGAAATTTTTACTGGTAAAATTGTAGCCATTGTAGAGGTAACATTTGTAGGAGTTTCAGATCTTAAATTTGCCTCTGTAATACACATGTAATGTCTTTGCAGATATCGACGAATGTGCGACCGAGAACGGCCGGTGTGACCAGATCTGCACCAACGTCCCCGGGAGCTACAGGTGCTTCTGCCATCATGGATTTGTGCTCATCGAAGACTCGCACGGCTGTCGAGGTGAAAAAGTGCAGTTGTTTCATGATTGTAGTTTGCCACACAGGCGTATATTTACACAGTGTAGATACGCAAAGCCCTTCTTCTTTGACTTTATTCAAAACACTTTTAATCTGGTCTCCTTCACATCAGTTCAGGATCAATATTACGACAAGCAGCTTATTCTTTCAAGTAGCTTTTACATGATATAATTATACTTTTCTGACTGACTAAACTTTTCTGACTCCCATTTTTAAAAAAAGTCTAGTAAAAGGAACATTGTGTTACCTCTTGTTGTGTTAATACTGAGTTCTTGTTTCACAGTGTGCGGCCACTGCCTGGGCGGGGACGTGAACTGTGACCCAGTATCGGGTGTCTGCTCGGCTGGCTGCCAGGATGGATGGAAAACACAGCTATGTGATAAAGGTATCGTATGCGCCAATAGCAGTTGTCCTCTTTCACAAATTGTGTATTAATGTTAATACCTAATTTCTGTTTTATTTACAAAAATGAAGCTGCATAATTTGTAACCTGGACCTGGACTTACAGGCCTTTTAGAAATATGTTTATTTAAAAAAAGCATTATTTACTAGGAATCTCTGTATAATTTAATGAGGTTATAATGAGTTATAATGACATTTGGTGCTCTATTAACATCTATTTCAAAAGTAAACATTTCTTAACTCCTTGATCTTTTTTCTTGCAGCTGTGGATCCACCAATGGACCTGACCGTAACTGACATCACGGACGAAGGGTTCAAGGTCACCTGGTCTCCATCCCCTGACCCTGACCTTCAGGGGTACCGTGTGGTGGTGTCCAACCTGGACATGACGACAGCTGTCAATCAGAGCACTGAGGAGGCGTGGTTTCCGGTGGTCGGCCTGTTCCCGGAGACTGCTTACATCATCAGGGTGACGGCCCTGTTCTCTTCAGGTGGTTGGAGGTCACAGAGCGAGGCGGCAGTGATACCGGCACGCACAGGTAGGGAGAGTCTAGCTGCTGTTGACTGTTGATGAATCCAAAGATAGAATTTATTCTGACTCTCTATTGATACCAGAACATTGCCAGGTTGTGCATTGCTGAGGTCACCATGAATAAAGACATTTTAATAGGAGTTAGTTTTTTTGAAAGTGTGCATTCTTTCACATGAGGAACTGTTCTGTAGTAAAAAAAAACTATAAAAAGCTATAAATCAAAGGGTTCATCCTTGTATTTAAACGCTATGGGAGCTTGAAACACTTGTCGTTAATGTACTATGTTTATTCCACATGCTTATTCCATACTTGTCCTCCAAAAAGTCACTCTAGGAAATATTGGATTTAGTTCAGATACATGCTAAAACCTCAAAGTAGATTTGTATCAGAGTACATCTTGTTGTGTTTTTATCAGTACTGTTCTTCTCACAAAAGATTTAGAGAAATTCTGTGAAGTCTCTTAACCTGAGTCTTTTCTCTGCCAGCCGCCACACCAACCACAATTCCTCCAACCACAATTCCTGCTGCTACAACCCAGCAGACAAGTCGGATGACCACCCGCCTTTCCACCAAACCTGCGACTTCGACCGTACAACATGCACCTGAAGCTGGGTGGGACGAGGAATCATCTGATGACGGTAGGTTCCCAGCATTGAAACACTGGAGAGGCCATCATTAAGCAATGGACACTTTTCATACAGCTTGTCACTTGAGTCTATGATGTTGCTTGTCAACAAGTACTGAATCTGATGTTTTGCTTGAATAAGCCTGATGTTCCAATGATACCAGCTGTAGTGTTAGTATATTGTTCTACACCTTAAAACTTAGAAAATCGTCTTTACATGTATTCATATTTTGATACTGATGTTTTTTCTCTACAGCCACCACACCATCAGCTGCTGAAACAACTAAGCAGACAAGTGGGATGCCCACATCCATGTCCACCAGACCCTCAACTCCAACTGCACAACTCGGATCGGATACCGATGGTAGGTTCTTAATATCTGTTTACCTCAGAGTCTGTGCAAATTCGTGGAGCAACCTGGTCACTTTTTACAAGGTAATGTACAACATAAATATGATTCATTGATATTGTTAGTCAATGTACAATGTATCTAGTGTGATAAAATGTATGTTTAGACTGGTGTAAATTTGTACAGTTTCAAAACTGTTTTCTTTTCAGTGATTGGGGTCTGGCTTTTGAACTATGCTGTTGCTTTGACAGTAGAATCTGATCTAACTTACAAACCCATCATGTCCTTCAATGTCATGTTAAGTACAAGAAGGCCATGCTTCAGTGTCATTGCAAAGGTCAGACGTGGTTCAAAAGTGATGGAATAATTATATTTCTGTTGTGCAGGAACCACAGAGACCATCAGCAGTCCGCCAGGCGGCAACAGGGCAACATCAGCTGATCAGGTAAACTGTGCACTTCTACAGCTGAGGCTATTTTAGGGGACCTCTTTCCAAAAATTACATTTGTATGACCCCGTCTGTATCATCCTTTGCAATAGTGAGGCACATATCTGGGGTCGTGTGGCGTAGTGGTAGCATCTTCAGCTCGGAACCAAAAGGTCCCAGGTTCAAACCCCACCCTGTCGCCGATCTTGTGCCCTTGGGAAAGGCACTTTACACGACTTTCCTCCCTTTACTCTGGTGAAAATGAGTACCTAGCTTTGGTTAGGGCCGTCCCTCGGATGGGACATTAAATGGAGGTCCCGTGTTTGGGGAGAGCCACACCCCATGCACGTTAAAGAACCCACCACACCTTTCGAAAAAGAGTAGGGGCATGCCCCGGTGTGCGATGCTACAAACACTACTGTCTGGAATTTGGTGATTCACTTCAAATCACCCGGACAGAGGCCTGGCAAACCCTCGTTTCGTATTAGCCACAACATGCCAGTAATTGCCGGTACTCGGCAGATGTGCATTATCGGAAGAACATCTAATATTCTGACTGTCTTGCCCTTAATGCCTGTCCAATAGTACATTGTAAGTAAGGCACATATTATCTAATATTCTGACTGTCCAAAAGTACCAGTAGTAAGTAAGGCACATACATTTATTATCTAATTTTCTGACTGCACTTCCCTTTTTTTTAATGTCTGTCCAATAGTAAGGCATAAAATTATCTAGTATTCTGACTGTACTGCCCTTTATTCCCATTCAACAGGCTCTTGGTAACAGTCTGGAGAGCATCTATGCAGAATCCGTCAGCTCAAGCCCACAGGATGTGCTCCAGATTCTGGCTCAGGTTAGTCACACTAAAAACTTTCTATCAGTTATTCTCAGTTAACTACAACAATGTCACAGGGATCTCCCCATGGCCAGTCTCCCCTAGTTGGTGTTTTTAGTTTTCCAAAATACAAAAGTCAGCTATTTCCTAGGAGTTCAGCTTTGCATCTCACCTTTAACCTGAAACTGCATTCAAAACATTTAATATACAGGGAAAGTTAGATTGAAGCTGTTTTCAAAAATCAGCATGATGGTGCTGGGACTTCATCATGATGGGGAGGGGGGCACCACTGTTCTATTTTCTACTACCCTGTGTCACATGACTGGAGTTACGTAATATTCACTGTGCATGAAGGCAGTCATTTCTACAGCAATTTATCAACAATTTATTGTTCTTCATGCTTGTTTAATTCCTTTCAATTGTTGCTTCCTGATTGTCATCTCTAAATTGCATATTATATATAGTTTAACTTACTTTTTTTTATTCATGATATCAAAAAAATTTAGTAATGCACACCATATGTTGCCATAACAATTCTCTTTGATATTCTGTTATTACCAAGAATAAAAAGTCAATAGGAATACTGTTATACACAACACAATTATAGTCTGTGGCAAAGGTTCTACATTGTATTATGATATTAAATTGGACAGAAACTGGTCAAAAAATGATAGGTCCCTCCTTCACTAGATTGGTATCTTTTTTTAGAAATTTCCATAAGCATAGTCACTGTGGTATTATGAGAGTAGAATCTGATGTTACATTTATTGAACCTAGTTCTTTGCTTTGTTGCTAACAAACAACTTTTTCTGCAATTTTGTCGTTCTGTAATGAGAAGGCTGCAGATGTCTCTGGAGATGATGTTGTGTTGGGGCAGCCGACATCAGCTGCTGAGGAAAAGGCACAGGTAATTATAATATAGGCCATGTTTGGTAGTCTGTAGATGTTAAACATTGGGAAACATTTGGGAAAGCTATTTGGACCAGGTTAAGGATTCGAACAAAGGTGTTCAATCTTGTTATCTGTTGTTGTAGATGTGCAGGAAGGCAATTAAAACGTTGGCCTCTGAAATGGGTCGGGCCCAGACACCGCAACGTCTGCAAAGGATGTCTGAGTTATCATCACTTGTCATTAAGTCCTGTCCTGGCATTCCACAGGAGGATAAGGTACAAGTCTCTGATGGGAGTTTTACAAAGCTGAACCATTTGACTCCTCACCTACATCTACAAGCTTGACTACTCATGGAGTTACACTTGCAGCTGTGCAGAAAACTATGATCTTTCTCTAATTCTATATGATTGTGCCTTTTGTTATGCATGGCATGAGCCTTTACTTAATTGTACTACATGTACATGATGTTGATTTTATACGGACATCTTTTTTCAATGTCTGTATCTGCAGCATGGAGGTTTTTGGACGTTATGCTTATGGCTCTTCATCTGTCTCTGAAATTTAAATGTGCTGAACAAAAACATTTCATTTCAACACATCAATTTCTGTCTTTTCTCACCAAATGTTTTCATTACAAATGCATTTTGAGTAGAACACTGCCCAAAATGTTTGCATATTTAGATGCTGGTTGAGCAACAGAAGTGTTGCTTTCAGTCTAAGAAGTCTAGTTTTAAAATAACAAATTTATGCTGCCCTATAGGACATGGCCATGGGTGTTCTGAAGTCCATCACCCTCAATGTGGACCAGCTGGACATGTCTGACCCGTCGACTGTCCAGTCTGTGGGAGGATGTAAGTACATTATGTCATGTTCACCAGTCGTACGGTGCCTCATGTAATGTATTCTCAGGTTGTTTTTGTTTGCTAATCCAGGAGAAACATGTCACATAAAACTTTTTAGGGTGAAGAATTATGTTTCATGTGAGAAAACATGTACATTTAACACTGACATATAACAGAAAGTAAGAAATATCAAATGAAACTGTTTCTTCTATTCTACTGCAGCTCTGGTGGAGTCTGTTGGTTCTGTGTTCATTACTTTGATAACGTTTGTTTCTGTTCTACTGCAGCTCTGGTGGAGTCCGTTGGTTCTGTGTTTATTACTTTGATAACGTTTGTTTCTGTTCTACTGCAGCTCTGGTGGAGTCCGTTGGTTCTGTGTTCATTACTTTGATAACGTTTGTTTCTGTTCTACTGCAGCTCTGGTGGAGTCCGTTGGTTCTGAGTTCATTACTTTGATAACGTTTGTTTCTGTTCTACTGCAGCTCTGGTGGAGTCTGTTGGTTCTGTGTTTATTACTTTGATAACGTTTGTTTCTGTTCTACTGCAGCTCTGGTGGAGTCCGTTGGTTCTCTGCTTGAGGACCCAGAGAGAGATGAAGAAGAGGCTGATGTGAAGCTCACTTCTGATCTTGAGGAAGACCAGAGTCTCTCTCCAAAGGAGCGCCTTCAAAAGGTGGAAGAAAAGAAGCAGGAGAACCAAGCTAAGGTAACAAAAAGTCATTGTTAAAAAATAATAAATTCTTGAGATTTTACTGTACATTCAAGTTTGTTGACTCTGTGTTAGAGTTCATTTTCCACCCACATCTCATACATAATCATACAACTCTTTATTAGATTTTATCATATGTGTATGTTGTGATAGATGTTGTTTGATTTTAATGCTTTTAATGGGATGGGCTACGTCTTTAGTCTTAATATTTGTAATTGTGAGCAACAGCGCAATTCAGAACCCCTGGGTTCTGTAAAACTGTTTTACAGTGACATCAATAAACCAGTCTATATCAGCTGTTCTTCCTTGTTTGATTTTACATCAGGTGTAAAAAAAAGGCCCTCTCAATCTCTGAACATAAGATAGTATTAAATTTTTAGATTTTTGAATCTTACTGATTCAAGTTTTCTACCCAGGGTGACTAATCTTCACAAACGTCTCAATTAACATACTATGTAATAATTATTGTTCACCAAAGATACGTCATATATGTTGACTCAGGACCATGTAACCCCTAAAGACTTGCAAACTTTCACACATTAACTGACCACAATACCCTGACTATATGGGGGTCGGCCCTATGTTACGACAGCCCTATGTTACGACAGCCCTATGTTACGACAGCCCTATGTTACGACAGCCCTATATTACGACAGCCCTATGTTTTGACGCCCCCTTTTTTCAACGCGATTATGGCTATGTTCAGACACCAAATGATAAATTGTAAATGTATGGAGTGTAATGATCTCGAAGAAAATTTTCACGTAATAAATTGTCACTGACAGTGTTTCCGCCAGACTGCAGCAGACATCCTGAGAGGCCGTCCAGTTGGGAAGGGCCGGGTCGCGAAAATTAATTAACTAAGGGAACACGTCGCGAAAATTAATTGAGGGGGCGGGGCATTTGTTTACACTTGTTAACAAGTTGAAACTGTCCACAAGCATTCCACATTTTTTTACAAGTGTTGACATTAAAAAAAAAACACTGCTACAAATGGCAAACGTATCGCCAGTAATACTTTACTTGGACATTCTGCTGCAAAACTCCGAACATCGGCATCATTTAATTGTAACCTCCAGTAGCGCCTGCGATAGCCGGATTTTAATAGTGAAGAGCCTTGCTTCGTCAGTACTTCCACCGTACTAGCAACATTTCCGTCAACAAGCGTCATCTTATCTCTCATACACGAGACAAATTTTGAAAATAACTTGGCTGTATCGTAGCTTTCATTGCTGTTTTATTCAACAAAAGTGCTCCTTGGTTGTAAAATGATCTCTTGTCTCCAGTACAGTGTCAAATGGTAGCGTGATCGTAGCGTGCAAAAAATCGGCGTTAAAAGTCAGAAAATCGCTGGAAAATAACTTGCAGCACACATTCGCTACCTCGCCGTAGAAGAAATACGCGCATTTTCTCATTAATATAATGCTAATATGTAAGTAGCAGCGTGAACTCTACGCTCTGATTCGTTGACCTCATATGACCTGCGCTCTGATTGGATAGAGCCATCTTTGCAGAGCTGCAGTTTGTTTGTCGGCGAAGAGAGTTACACTGACACTAAATGTCTTGTCAGCAGGGCAAGCCCTTTGCAATAGCCACAGGCTAGTTGGGCTGCCCTGGCTGTGAGGGTTGAACAGCCAAACCAGTAAATAAATACGTTTTTGGCACCAAATTCGTATTGGTTACACAACTTACAGGGCTAAGCAGCATGGGAAGGTTCATGGTTGGTCAAGCTAAACAACTTTTTCGTAAATAGAATGTCATAAGCTACAATGTCATGTATTGCATCAGAAATGCACATATTTTTATCTCATGTTTACATAAAGAATAATCCGAGAGAGAGTAACTCATCATGATGTCTTGTTGGTTCCTTACAGAGAGGAAGATTTGTCCAGGAAGGCCGCCAGGTCCTGGAGGGTCTGTTCAACGCCATCATCAGCGCCACGAGGCCAGGAGCCCCGGCGGTCACCATCAAGAGAGGCGGCATCACGCTGCGTGCCCAGAGGATCTGGGGCGACCAGTTTGGAGGCCAGGTCGTGCAGACGGAGGATGGGAGCTTCCAACTTCCGTCTAAAGCAGCGCTTTTCGCGGACTATACGCCGCACAACGTCGCTATAAAGGTACGTGTCATGTCATGTCCTCAGGTAATCAATGATCCTTGTCTTTCCTCTCATGTGTGATGATGTCAACAGAACAGTAATTCTCATCATTGTTCAGAACATTTGTTTTTGTCTTACCAGTACAGTACTATGTTAAACTTTTTTTTTGCCATTTGACTGTAATTATTCATGGGACTGAAAGTTAGTGAGTGAGTGAGTGTGTGAGTGAGTGAGTGAGTGAGTGAGTGAGTGAGTGGGTGAGTGAGTGAGTGAGTGGCTGAGTGAGTGGGTGAGTGAGTGAGTGAGTGAGTGAGTCAGAGTGTGTGAGTGAGTGAGTGCCTGAGTGGGTGAGTGAGTGAGTGAGTGAGTGATTGAGTGAGTGATTGTGTGAGTGAGAGTGAGTGTGAGTGAGTGAGTGATACATTTTTCTTAGAATGTGCAAAAAAATTCTATTTTTCAATAGATAATGCATTTACTCCTACATGTATCATGTTAAACCTTGTGTATTTGGATGCTCTTGGAAATCAGTGTAGCTTGACTGAAAGGACTAGTAGACTCAATTCTGTACTTAGTCTAGATCAGAATATTAACATCATATTCTTTGAGGAAACATTCCAGAATCCCATTGAAAAAACATTGAGTCAGACTCAATCTGAAAATCACCAGATCTTTTACATAACATTTTACAATCCTCATTTAATCACTGCAGAGGAATTTTCCCTTTACAGGTTACCCCACTGTTTAACATCATTTTTCTTGTTGGTGGTTGAATTGAACGTGAAGTACAGAAATTTATTGGACAATTTTATTTTGTTGTGTTCCAGTTGACACAGTTTCAGCAGAACCCTTTTACCTGGGGGCGTGGGGAGTACCAACCACGTTCGTCTGTCATGGAACTGTCACTCCAACAGAACAACTTCCCCGTGGCCTTCAACAACCTAACAGAAGACTTCAACATCACCATTCCGGCCAAATCCGGAAACAAACCAGCGACAACAACCGTCACCATCCCTGCCCAAGGAAACGGAAGTTCCAGCTACCATTTGCTGAACCTCACCAACGCCGCAGAAGGCTTCCTGGTCACAATCACCCCGCTGAACACCAGCGTGGTTTACCGTGTGTCGGGCAGGTACGGCGGCCGCCCTGGTGACCAAAACTACAACATGTCCACAGAGACGTACATCCTACCCGAGGAGTGTGCCTTGATGAAAACTCTGAGTGGCGAGGAAGACACAGAGAAGACAGAGGCAAGAATGTTCGTCTCGGGAGAGGATGGTCCTGTGGATTACAACATCAAGGTCCAAATAGTTGGTGAGTAGTTTTCAAACACAAACATGCTTGACAGAAGTAGAAGGTGAATGTGTGTGCCAGATTAAGTGGAATTGTCTTGTCCATAATGATATCACTAAACTACGTATGTTTGGTAGTATCTGTTCTTTTGTTGTAAAGGAATGTTTGAAGAGGTTTAAAATGTTGGTATGTTTCAATCTCAGGGCTGGAAATACTGGGTGCATGTGCACCTTAGTGCACCCAAATTTGGGGCTGTGCACCCAATTTTTCTTGTATTCTTGTAGGTAATACGTAAAGATGTTAAATGTATAGTTATATA